GGTAATAATGATAACATTGTAAAGCACTTAGAAACGTAAGCGCTATACAAATGTGACTATTATTATTATAATGCGGGATGTTCTGGTTTCGATCCATGTTCGGTACTTACAATCCTTATACAAGGTATGTTACCCATGTTTGTCCCTCTCGGCGCATGCGTATGAAATGGGTTCATCACATAATGATAAAAAATGATGGCCTGAAGAAAAAACGCAGGATTAACGCTCATGAGGCTATCCTGGATATTAGACTATCGTTAATCTTTAAAATGCGCACAGCAAATGACACACTATCAACAAGAAATGAAGGTCAAGATGATAGATGGATAATAATGATAAAAATATTGGTATAATATCCTAGAAAGAAAGACCGTTTCACGGAGGCCAAGAGGAAATATCTATAGCAGATACGGGTTCATTCAAATGTCATGGTATCTTTTTTGAAGAGTACTTTGTGTGGCACCCATTAGTCAATATGAATCTGAAGAGGATTGTTTCATGCTTCCAAATGATGCTCGTTCTGAATACGTTTCCACTGGCTAATAGAAGTCATAATCGCATGCAGTTACAAACGTCTTTAACCTTTCATACGCATTAAACGCAAAGTGGTATTATTGAAGGACCGTTAAAGAAGAATAGCTGTAAATACCAAATCCTTTCCGATCATCCCCGTGTACAAAAATTTGAACTGGGGTAGAATTTTCGCTTTCCACGTTGTCGTTCGAATGCATAACAACAACAAAATGTCCTGCACTTATACTTTTGATATATTGATGACGTTATAAAAGAAGATGCACATGTAGTAGAAATAGTGCGCACATAAAGGCCACTCGAATGGAAACAGTACAAGTGGCCACTGTAGACAGTTGGCCTTTAGAGAAAGGTGGCCACTAAAACTAGTTTGACTGTATCCTTTCTTTCTTTCATATGAAACTTCTTAAAAATTTCAATTCCGATTCCTTTCAGCAGTGGGGACGTCAGTTACATATCAATTCTCCCCGAATTAATCATTTTGAAAAGCTACTATGAAACGCACCAGCCTCCCGCGGTGTTGTAACGCTAGAAAATATCTGTTTATTCTCATGTCTATGAAAATATTGCCCTAATCATTCCTCTCGTACCTCACTCTAATCGCACTGTTTAGAGAGTCAATCCCTCTCAAATCACCCACAATTATTCCGATTTTCTCAAATGACGCGTCCTAATTGACCTGCAAGTATACCATCGTCTCGAGAAAATAATGCGTCTGTCGTTAAAAGGGTTCCTTTAGGTTTGGTTTATACATAGATAACGTTGAATCACTATTTCTGAATCTCGGTATTAGGGATTGTCTTCAAAAGTTTCGGGATACCGAAAAAATTCATTATATGGATTAGGGCTCGTTATTCTGAAGATGTAGTAAATTTCGAATATCACACACCAATAATCCAAAATCTGCGTTTAATCAAATCATCATGTTGTTATTTTTTTCTGTAAGTACACTTATTCCATTATTCGTAAACATCACGATACAAAATAACATTGTTTGGTATATAACCAGCCATTCAGAAAAGTTTACAATATCATCAATTAGTTTCCTAGTGTCTAACGAAGAAGATCTCCAAATCATATCCCACCGCTGCCACCGTAAATTAGATGTCGATCTAAAAAAAATGAACATATAATGATAATAACGTGGGTTCTTGTATATGGCGCTCATGTCTGTCAGACTTGACACTTCTGGCGCTCCACATTTGTTATCCCAGCGTTATGAAGGGTGCCATTATGGCGCTCTAGCATTTCAAGAAATGTATTCCTGCCAGGTACTCATTGACATCACCTGGGTGGAGTATGCCAAAATGTAAATTAATGTCTTGCCAAAAGACATTGATCTACACTCTACAGGACTCGAACCGCGGACCATGTGATACACAGTCCGATGACGTATCCACTACACAGCAACACCTTGTACTAACGCTACTTCTCCTACTTCTACTACTTCTACTACTTCTACTACTGCTACTACTACTACTACTAATAATAATAATACTAATTATACTACTACTAGTACTACTACTACTACTACTACTACTACTACTACTTCTACTGCTACTTCTACTTCTTCTACTACTACTACTACTTCTACTTCTTCTACTACTACTACTACTTCTACTTCTTCTACTACTACTACTATAACTACTGCCAACACTACAATTTTCACTACAATCATGACAATCATGATTCTATCTGTGTAGTGCTGCAGCTATATGTCAAAGACAAAATCATTTCCATAGTACTACTTTCCCCATAATTATCGTGCACATGTTCTGTCGCATTAATTGACTGTAAAAAGAACCATTACTTGTACAATAGTTCTATAAAGAGATATCTAAGTGGAACTATTCACAAACTATATTATTTCTTTAACACGTTCAAATAAATACAAAACATTACAAAGCCTTCAAATTGTCAAAGAGATTAACCGAAAGGATTCATTTCTTAAACAAGAGAAAATAAAACGTCATAAACTAGGCTAACGTTTGATCACTCCATCCATTATTCTTTGCCGGCGAGAGTTTTATCATGATTCATTTCTCGGTACAAAGTAGTAAATCTGTATTTCAGCTATTTCAGCCATTATTCGCTCGTCAGGTTTTGCCTTGCAGGTTCTAGCCACGCTAAATCGCGTGCCGCAATAAAATAAATGTCTACGATTATGCTCGGGACTTCCGAAGAGAAATGTTTATATTCTAGCTTAGCATTTCCTATCTCGTTTCGTCTTCAGGATTTATGGGGGAAGATTAGTCTTTTTTATACCGACCCACTGCCCTGGATACTCAACCCCGGGGTTCGGTATGATCACTCTTCTACCCTGGGGAGATTTAGAAGAACAAAGATATAAACCCGAGGAAAACTCAGAAATGGTTCATCAAGTTATCTTTTATGTCACTGCTTTAGTATTGGAAACCCATAAGATGATCTGGTAAGATAATCGAATGATTTATTGTTCTAGCATTGATTTAGCTTTGAAACCGATTCTATACAGCAAAAAAGAAATGTAACTCTTTGTCTCTCATTATGGTTTCAAGAGCACGAATGGTTGTGATGTGTGGGCGATTCTCTCACGTTTATTGTGACATGAATAGATAACAGGCCTGCCTTAATATATATATCTTATATGGATTTTAAGAGACGTTTCACCGTCTAGACTGATTTGAACATGAGCGCAAAAATCGACATAATTTTCAATAGCCTTGTGCGTCGCCTTTTGATATGTGTGAACATGCCAATGTCTTGGCCTAAATGTGAACATGATTAATTTATTTCTTGTTTTTAAAAAATGTATTAATCAATTTTAAAATACTAAAAGACAAATAGGAAACATATGCTAGACTCGTTTCGTACGTTAAGGAATAAATAATGATAATAATATTACTAATAATACGAAAAATGTATATAGCGCTTGTGACATAAAAGTTTCAAAGCGCTGTACACAAATCAAGATTACTTCAAGAAAAAACAATATATGGAATTAACATTACTTAAATTACAAATAAAATGAAATCATGGAAAGTACATTCAAAGATGGGTTTGTAGCTCGTAATAAAAAATAAGCAAAGCCTTCTCCGAAGACAAAAAACAATGTGCAAGTGTTAATGAGTTAATCTAATTATCTGGCATCATGCAGCAGATAATTATTCGTATTACCCGAATTCCCATTTAAAGGTCAAGTACGATCCAAGACGATGTTACGGGAATGGAACCCAGAGGGGATAGATTTCGAGGACTTTGGGTTATTAATTTATGATAATGGATCTAGCATCCTATGTCGACATATACTTTACATGGAAGTTATCATTGTCTTGTATTCTATATGTCGCTTACCATCCCTTCAATACGAAAAACAAGTTATGCTCTGATCGTGTGATACTTGAACAAAGATGATAATTACGTTTTGAAAAAATGTTGGAAAAATGTGGTTTGAATCAAATCAAATTTTATGAACTGAAAACGAGATGATGCTAATGATCTGAAAATGGTGAATGAATTGTTCATATGTGCATGCGAGGACAGTATGCAATCACACAATATGTTTCTTGAAAAGAACAAACAAGTTATAATGTACGTGGTGTATACAAAATATCTTATAATTTTAAAAATCGTTGTAAATCAAGGTAACACGTATAAACACTATAAAGAATTTACCAGATTTAAGGATTTTCATTTGTGGACAGCAAATAATATCATCAAATGGTCCAGTTCCACACTACTTTCAGCTATCTACTGTACATCCAAGGAACGTCAACATGTTTTCCTTGTAGCTATACCAAATTATATTTTCCTTCGTCCTCCCAAATAATTCACTGAAAGTACACGCCTTCACCTTGCCTGTTACATTCACCTACTTTTCAGTGCCACTCTTTCTAGACAGAAATCACGTACAACCACTTCAGGAAATCAATTTTGGAAAAGACGAGGGAGCCAAATGCATTACAAAGAACTGGAGCACTAAATAGTATCTTATTGGCCACTTTTTAGAGCAATTTCAGGGTTTTCCCTTTCTTCAATTGGTGTGTAAACGTGTGCAGCGTTTGCAGAAATGATAGGTTCGTTGGGTTCTTTAGGATATTTGAGCGAATACATTAACTTACAGGTGTTCATCATTGAACGTTACTTTGTCTCTAATTTCGAAATGTGGCCAAAATAGCAGGAAAGACTAAATTTCCATGCCACATATGTGTGTAGTCCCATATGTTTATTTTTTGTTCGCAGTGCATCCGAAACTCATAGCAAGATTGGGTCGATTTTTTTCAATGCTGATCATTCCAAAACCTCATAAGTGTACATTGTATTCCTACATATCCACACATTTGTTGATGTCCACAAAAATCTGCACCAATTGCTTCTAGACAATTTCCTTTACAATGTAATCGTATGATCGATAATCAACTCGATTTTTAAAAGCCATGTCCCCCCCCCCCCCCCAACTATTCTTGAAATGAAAACCATCAAGAACTTACTTGAATGCCACTGTACGAAGAGGATTGAAACCATTGTGACCGAACATGCCGCCAAGATAACCGCTAAGATGATCAGTCTCTTCTCCAGCCGTGTTCTCTGAAATAATGGGCTCGTCGTCACTTCTGGAACTCCCCGTTGGTCCCCCTGTGCAGGAAAAGTGAACGTGGTCGCTTCTCTGGTGCAGTGGCCGTTGCTGAGACTAGGCCGCAGACAGGGCGAGTCCGCCACGGAATCGGGACTGGGTATCCCGGTTAGGTTTTCTCTGTAGGGAATAGGGAGAAAGTAGAGCGAGTAATTGGTGATATTTTTCTTAATCCAAGCATGTTTTGATGATTGCAAGCCGAAACCTCTAGCTCGTTTGATGTCAGTAATAATTGATTGAGACGATTAATACGTGTCGAATGAATACATCAAAACTGCTGCAGCTAGCCAGAATGTGCCAGAAGGGTAATATATATATATTAACTGGTGCCGCCCTTCTACATAGATTCATGCCCTCTGGCCCCCATCAGACGGATATTTCAAGCCTTTCCATAAAGTACCAGATAGGTGGTGGAAACACTTGGAGAGTCATTCATATAATATCATTTTTAATGAGAGATGTCGGATTAAATCGCCAATCAAGTTTGCTGACAGCATTATGTTTGCCAAAAGAAAGGACATTTCTTTCTTAAGATTTGGTCTCATACCCTCTTTCCCGGGCTACGCCCGCACATGCGATTCAAATGAAATTGGTATTGATAAGACTGTACTGGGGAGAATACTCTTACCTTTTCTAATTCAAAGTAATATCCTCTTAAGAATGGGAATATTAAAAAAGAGTCTCAGATACCATGATTATAGCTATAATGAGCAGCATTCTCACATTCCACGTAGTATTGGTAATCAATAATCGTTTTGATAGCGCTCGGATCAAATAACATCTTAGTCCATGCCCTTTCATTTTCATTTAACTCACATAGCTAATATTACGATTCTATCTTCATCGGAAGAATCCACGAATACCAGAGTCATGGAAAAGGGTTTTATGCAGCAAATAGGTCAGTATCTTCATAAGATATGAATCAATTATTCTCCTTTTTTCTTTTCTTTTTTTCTCGTATCTATCTTAATCTGACTTTATTCTCACTGAATACATCATTTATATTGCACTCCCTCAGTGTTTTATCAATAGATAAAGTCATCTTCATTTTTCTCCATGTAATATTCTGGTTATGACGGGGATCCATTTTTATTATTAATACGATCACCTTAAAGTTTGTTCTTTTTTAATTACGTAAAGTTGCTCATTTTTCGCTTTGCAATCACTTACTTTGTTGAAAACTGTGGTGTGTGTGCGTGTGCGTGTGCGTGTGCGTATACGTAACCTACAAAAAATGCCTGCCCACTTATTTGGTACATTAATCTCGTGGGATCAAGCATTTTCAGTATTTCACCAACTTAGGCGGATACGACACCTTGGGGTGACAATGCCCCGGATTCTATTTTTCACCCGAATCACTTCCACCCTCCGTAATTCATTCAATGTAGTCTTTTGGGGAGGTTAATAGTATAATGTGCTCCACTGGAGGGCAGAAAGGGTGTGAAACACAGACAGGTGTTCCCTTCGAAATAGAGAAAGAGCGCCGTCATAGACATAAAACAGATGAGTTGAAGGTGAATGAGGGCATCTTAAAGTAGGCCGTTGTAAGGATTTTACCATATTTCAAATTAATCCATGCGATGATTACAAGTAATCTTTTTGTAAAATATCTCAGTCAAGTTTTCAAAGTTTACTTCCTATTGGAAAATTGTTGAATACCTTGTAATCTTTCATTTAAAGTCAAATCGGAACGGTTTAATTGGAATCTAGATGTCAACTTGATTGATAGGTTTATAACAACTCTTAAACTTTTGATTAATGAAATCCTGTTTAGTGATTGGTCAACATAGCATCATGTGACCAAACATAACATTGCGATGATGTTACCGTTAAGAAAAATGTGCTATACCCTCCGAAAATAGTGCCATTCCTGCCACCTCGATCCATAATTTCAACTAGAGCTTCTCAGTGCATGGTATATTTGTTAACTATCCTTCCATCATATTTTTTCTTCGACATCGGTGAACAAAATAAATATACCTATGTAGTAGGAACTATTAGATAGCAAATCATAGCACTCCTGGAAAAGATCTTGTCGCTTGAAATACATGAAACCTTCACGAGTGCGACGAGAGTGTCGTTCTCTTCAAATTAATTAAGGATGTGACGAGTTTAACCTAAATCCAAGGATTTCATTCCCAATCTTGACTATTTCTTGACTTTTTTTCATTCAATTATCATGATGAATAAAGCAATTACCGACTATCAAAGGATATGCTTATCCAGCAGTTAAATTGTGAAATATAAAAATTATGTTTCATGAATGATTCATTTGTAGGAAGCCTAATGCTATCTGTAGCTATAAATTATAATCCTATAAAGCTTTAATCTTTTTTCTTTAACAATGGACTGTAAGAGAAAATTACCAAATTAGAAGTATAACAAAATAGGTAGAATTCCACACGCTCCCACACAAACACATACACACATACGCATACTCATAAAAATGTTCAATACTAGATGGAGTGATGTATTTCCCTGACAATTAATATGATTACTTTCTACATATCTCGAGTTTGCTACAGAAATTCAACAATTCCGTTAGACGAAGACTTGGACTACACATTAGCGTACAGAAGGAAAACTATACAAATGGAAATGGTAATAGAGGAACTAATTAAACTGTACTCGCGCTAGGTGAACAGAAGGCAAAATCAAACTAAAGCATGAAAATCAAGCGCATACAAGGCTTGAAAGTCCCTTGACAGTCCCAGTTTAGTCTCTCTAGTTTTGCCCAAGTATTAACACCTCCCAGAATTCATCTTCATCTGTGGAAGGGCACGAGGTGTCACCTGAACACTAGACTCCATTTCAATTGGTCGGCATCTTCTTACATCCTCCCCGCGTACCGGTTAAGTCTAGAACCCTCGTGCAGAGGCATGCGACCTCATGTTTGCCCGCGGCGAGACAAGTATCCCGATACACTTCATCGTTTCCGCTCCCGATCACACAGATCGGTGCAGGGAGTGATCATCGTCTGTCTCACCAGATTGTCATCCGTAGTCTGAACTACAGGTAATATGTGTATGCAGTGACAACCGTGACAACTGCAACATGGCATGTATTTTTATTGTAATATTATTGAAGATCACTAAACTACATACCTAGACGTTGTGTGTCTGGACTGGTTATCTGCTAATTGGGGACCTGCTAATTGATGACTGTATCCTGTGACTGCCATTCATTAGTGTATATGTTGGAATGGGTATATCTTCACTTCGTAGATGTATTGCATGGCTTATATATTATCTCGTGAAATTCAATTTCAAATGAAGGTTGCCACAAGGCTGCATACTAGGTTCTAGTTTATTCATCCAGTCGATAATGAACCATATGTTTTCAATGGCATTCATCAACATTTGCAGATTACCCCACTAGGTCAATCTACAAATTTATTTTTAAAAAACACATAATCACCGGATGACAAAAAAAATTGTAAGTTCGTGCACAGTAAACAAAAGAGAAAATGAATATTTCGAACCGAGTGGTGAGCACCCAGGGAGGGGGGAGGGTCACTCCAAAAATGACTGGCTACGCACCCTCGTCCAGAAAAGGCGTCAAAATTGTGTCTTTTTCTTAATTATAAGGCGTCGTCGACAATTTCTTTTTTGTGACGCCAAAAAAAATACCTTTTCAGGTCTACAAGTTTCGACATTTTTCGGAAAATGTGCGATACATACGCCATGAGGGTCCATTTCAAAGGTTGGGGGACGCGAAGGGCGGGGGGGGGGCAGTGAGCCCCGGAAATTTGAATATCACGCAGACCGTTATTTTCCCTCAGTGTGGGGTGGAGGGGTAGTGTTAGCACTAAATCCAACAAAAAAAAAAGCTTAACACATTCCTCTTGAGCAAAAGAAAAAGGTAAATTTGTGGTAACCATCTTTTTTTGGCCCAGGGGTGGGAGTCTGTCTTTTTTTAAATCTTTTATGGGGGTCAGCCCCCCCCCCACCCCTCCGTGGATCCGCGCCTGGTCCCATCGTTGGAGAGACAAAAAGCTCAGAGAAAGGGTGTCAGGCTGAGAAACACAAATTACACAGAGACACGAAATGCGCATTTGAAGGAAAAAAAGAAAAGAGTTAAACTAAGGTGAAGAAAAAGGACAGCCCCTTGTAATGTCGGGGGATCAGAAAGAACCAATTAACGTGTACCAGACGTTTGCCTGGCACAGTAATCTCCTAATCTAATTATTCTATTAATTGAAATCAGCATTCGAGCAAAGATGAATAAAGTAAGGGGTAATGAGGATGGACATTCAACGGGGGAATATTAAGTGGTTGTCGTGCACTACAAGGACGAACGCGCTCACTTAAGGGTTAGGGGCCGGTGATTTAAAGCAACGTTTTGCAAGAGATATGTAATGATAATGCCAGTTAAGCGATCAGAGAGGGTACTTTAAATTAAGCTCTACATAAAGCTAGATTGTGTATTATTATCAATATTACCATTATAAATCATCATCGAACCAATTGAAGTTCAATTCAGAGTAATATATATTTTCTTTCAGTTCACAAATTGTCTGCTAATCCTTCTGATTGAAATAAAGTTCCTTCATATACATTATAAAAATGATTCTCGATTATATATAATAACGTTTAATACGGAATACCGTCTCTAAGCGCGAGGGAAGAATAAAAGCGAAATTAAATTTCATAGAAATATACTACTTGAAGAAGGACAAGGAGATATTTAGAGAGAGAGAGAGGAGGAGGAAGAGAGAGGTGGAGAGATAGAGAGAGAGAGAAAGAGAAATCATAGAGGGTGAGATAAAAGGATGAGAGGAAGAGACACTGCTAACACCAGCATCCTGGCCTTAACATCCTCGATCACAATATCAATTTGTAGCTATAACTGAAGTTTTCCCCCAAGAGACAGTCATTTCGTGGTAATGTCACATCAGGGGGAAAACAGATCGATATACTATTACCAGATAATTCTACTAGCGTGGATACCACTTGGGAAGAGATGCCACTTCACTCAGACATGCACCTGGTAGAGATCACGACTCTCGGGTGAGAGGACGTACAAGGTGTCAACGTGGAGCAGAGAGATAGAGAAGCCCCAACCTATCCCTCCGTCTCTTCTACTATGCAATCCACTTTACACACACTCAGACAGGATAG